GGTAAAACGTGTTACTATTTTATCTCAATTCCAATTTTTCTGGTTTAAAACTAAATATGAGCCACATTGATCTTCCTGGTGATGTGTGACAATCGATGAATGTTTCTCTTCAAAACCTTTATCTGCAATATAATTATCAATTCCCCTTTTTCCTATTTGGTGGTTTAAATAATATTAAACTACTATTTGGAACAGATAAACATATTACTATATAAGGACAAGGCATGTCTACAGGTGAGAACAGATAATTAAAGCCCTGTGGGAAGAGCTTAAAAGAAATACAACGTAGAATTTTATAAAGGTTAAATTGAAACAAAGACAAAGCGGGGATAGCTCAGTTGGGAGAGCGTCAGACTGAAGATCTGAAGGTCGCGTGTTCGATCCACGCTCACCGCATTGCTTTTATTTTTTCCCTATTTTGTCATTATTTTTAAAAGGATTTTTATGACATATTTTTATACTAGTATAGTGCACGTACATTGTACATTAAATTTTCCCTATTTTGTCATTATTTTTAAAAGGATTTTATGACATATTTTTACACTAGTATAGTGCACGTACTTTGTACAAGAGCATACCTATTTTCTTTCATTTTTAAAAGTTTTTTTGTTGGTTGCACAATACTGAAATGACTTGTATAGCAATATATATTATGAACAATTACTATTTTTTTAAACGAATAAATTATACGATAAAATTGTGTATAAAGAACTGTATGATTAATTATTATAGTTTGAATAATTGTTATAATTAAATTATATTAACTAATGTATTCTCTTTTAAATATAACAACATTATACATATCATAATTATAATACTATTAGTAGCTACATTTAAATTTTATAAATAGTTTATTACACTATTAGTAAATAATTTACTAAATTGTATAATTATTGAATTACAATGTACTTCATTAATTTAATAAATACTATTAAAATTATATACTATTAATACTATTATAATTACAATAAATATAAATTATTTTTCATACTATTATCATACTTTTAAAAGGCTAATAATATGAAAGGTAACGTGTAGTCCTTCATAAGACATGACACCTAAAGGCATAAGGCATAAGGCTAATGAAATTTTATTATTTCTAATTTTTCTAGAATTTTAAATATCATGTGAAGATAAATTAGGGATAAATTTTAAATATTCTATTAAATAATATAATTCAATAATAAAATAATAGTGTGACCAAAGGTTTTGAAAAATGAGGAAATGCATAATTAATAAGAGGTTATATAGTGAATGATTAATTATAACTAATGACATGTTTGAGAATTATCAAATTTAAAATTGCAAAAATAAAAATTAAAAGTTTTTACAATGCAATCCTCTTTTATATATAGTATAGATATAGATATAGATTAGTTCCCCACATATTCATACTGTGAATAAGTCCCCAGGATTTTTATATTTTGAAAGTAGTTGTCTAGTTATTCCGAAATTAGTCGCCCAATTCCTCATATGCTGAAATCAGTTCCCTAAATCTCGTAAGTGTTTTGAAATTAGACATTTTAATTACCACTACATTGGAATAGGTGGAGACTAATTCAACCAAAGAACAAAGTAAAATTGATCGACTAATTTTTAAATATGATAATATGGGGGTTAACTTTGAAATACTTAAAGATTTGATGGATTTACTAATTTGTAAATACCTAAAGATTTGAGGAATTAACTTCAAAAAGTGAGGATTTAGGGGACTAAAATCTAAATATGGTATTAACTTAAAAAAAATGAGGATTTAGGGGACTAACATTGAAGAAAACCTATTTTTAGGGTTAAGTGCACTTTCGTACACAAAACATTTACACCATTTTTAATATTGAAGAAAATCTATTATTAGGAATAAGTGCACTTTCGTACACAAAAAATTTATACCATTTTTTATTTTGATACCCCTAAATACTTTTTTTCCCGATTTGTTTCTCAAATGTTTACCATTTTTAACTCTGACACCCTAAATTAAAGTTCACATCTTCTTTGACTTTGATAACCAAAAGTTTTATTTTTTGATGCTTTGATACCCTAGAGTTTGGGATATTAAAGGTATAAATGTGCAAAATTTTGGACATCAAAGTTTTAAAATGTGTTATCTTTGAGCCATCAAAGCGTCTGAGAAAAAACTTGTCAAAAAAGTATAAACTTTAGGGTCATATTGTCAAGTAAAAACATTAAGATATTAAAGTAAAAAAAATGTTTGAAGTTTCAGATACAAAAGTGCAAATAACTTCTCTAATCCGAAACTAAGTTAAGTAGACAATACTCTTTTTCCCCTCCCAAGGGTAAATTGTACTTAAATACCACATAGTTCCCCACTTGTTGCATATAAATATCGCAGGTTATAATTTGGTATAAAATCGGCTATAACTATAAGTTAGGACCTAACCCGACCCGCTATGCCCAAATAAAACAGCGAAGACAAACCTCCACCTTTGTTGTGTCACAAAATCTCCAATGGCGTCCTCACTTCGACTCTCCGATTGAAAATTCTCCCCCAGAATCTTCATCTAGGGTTTCTCTCTCCCATCAAATTCCCAGTCGTCTCCATCTCCCTTAAAGAGCTATGGCTATGTCTTCGTTCGATCTGATCCTGAAACCAGCGTGCGAGGGTTGCGGATCTCCATCGGATCTCTATGGAAGCAACTGCAAGCACAAAACCCTATGCGCTTCTTGCGGGAAGAGGATGGCCGAGAGCCGAGCGAGGTGCAATATCTGCGGCATCCCCATCACCAAGTTGATCAGGGTAAGCTCGGTGCTAGGGTTTACTTGATTTTTTTTCCCTTTCATTTTTATCTAAATTTGACCTAATTTTGGTTTCTTCGATGTCAGTTGTTGTTAACTTTTGGTTAGGTTCGATAAAGTTTGACTTACTACGGCAGTTGAATTGTAATGCGCATCATTGCTTCAATTGCCATCCTGCTCGTGATTTGGATTGCAAAGTTTACATTTTGGTCCAGATCCTTCCTTTTCATAGCTGTTGCCTTAAGTATCTGTATGCTTGAAAGCTTGTTCTCTGGGCCGAGGAGAGTTTTAGCAATACTGCAGAATAAATGAATAATACCGCATATGGATGAAAGCAAGAACAAAGAAAATAACCGAGAGAAACACATAAACACAGGGATTTAAGGCTCGGCTATCAATGTACCTACCGTTGTTCGAGTATAACCTGGTTAAAATTCCAGTAATAATCAAGGATTATAAACAATGTCTCAAACCCTAAGCTCAAATCTCTCAGCTGTTTATATATCGATCGGGTTTCTGTATGCTGGTACGAAATTACAAGATCCCTACCCACATTAGGGGTGCAATTCTCACACGTGAGGGGTGAAAGGGGACAGGGTGCTATGCATTCGTCATATAGATCAGGTTCTATAAACAAACAGAGAGAAGATATAAGTTTGAAATTGATGTACCAAATTTTGGGGGAAAAAAAAGAAAAAAAAAGAAATATAAGTTATCAGTACATCAGTAGGGTAACTTAGGTCTGCCCCTTGTTCCTTCTTTCAGTCTGTAATTTGTTATCTGATTTTTTTTTGTCCATGATCATCTCTATTCCTGTAACACCTGCAGTCAGTTCACTATGGTCTAACTTCATAAGGCTCTGTAAGGTTCCAATTTTTGCTTACAGTGTTGAACTCTTTGACAATTTATGGCATTTGAGATTCTTTTTTAAGTTAATACCATCTGTTTGTGAAACTAATAGATGGTTAACACATAATTGGAATATGCAAGAACAAGGGTTCTTTTTGTCGTAGTTGTGATGTAACTTTGATAAGGGTATAATAATTGTTGCTGCTGTCCTTTTTTCTAGGAGTATAATGTTCGTGCAAGTGCCAGCACAGATAAATCATACTTCATCGGTAGGTTTGTCACTGGTTTACCGCCATTTTCAAAGAAGAAGTATGCCGAGAACAAGTGGACTCTTCACAAGGATGGGCTTTTAGGACGCCAAGTGACAGATGGTTTGCGGGTAATTAAAATATCCTTTTTCTTTCAACATTTCTCCTTACGTATGGTGTAATAAAAAGTGATCTTTTGGGTTATGTTAATTTACTCTGAAAGTTAAGCTTCTCTACTGCCTTGTATCTTGACGCCATTCAAGGTTAGGTGTGTGACTCATGACTACTGTCTTGTGCCTGGTATGAAACAGCACAAACTTGAAGTTGGGCTGCTAACCATTTGTAAACCTTATTTCTTAGTTGGGAGTCTTGTAAACCTTATTTCTTAGTTGGGAGTCTTAGGACCTCATGCAGGATCTATTGAGTTGACTACATGTTACACATTGGTGATTTTTGTAGTATATCTGGTCCATGATTAGTTATTATTGATAGCTTATGAAATTTATCTTTGATTTCTCATTAAAAACAGCTCCTTTAAATTATATTTATTTAAATGATAATGTTTTTGAATGTGGAGGAAATATAGTGAGCATATTGAATGATAACATGGAAAAGATGAATGTACGTGTCTCCTCCACGTATTCAGTATTATTTGTATTCTTTAATGATTCAGGACAATCATTATGTATTTATGGTAGACATTATATTTTTTCTGCAACATTTACACATTGAAGACTACTGAACCAGGTTGATATGGCTGTGGTAGACATTATATATTTTCATGTCCATTTTTGTCAACCTGGCTGTGGGTCTTATATTAGGGTTTAACAGTTGATGACTATGGCCATTCATGGTTTCTTCACATCTGTATTCATTTAGTTTTATGTTAAAAGAGAAGTTCAGGATTCAGGATCCAAAGATTATACATGTCATGAAACTTCCTACTTAATCTTATCTAGGCAATAGCATGTATGTAAGATTCAAAGTAATATAACTCATCTTCGAAGACCATAACTGTCCAGTACCAATAAAAAAAATAGTGCCATTAATTAAAAAGCTAAAGGCTAATTGGAAATTCTAAGCTAAGCGCGTACTAGCGAGTGGAAGTTCTCTTTTGACATGACAATTTAGCATTCCTAGAAGGATCAAACAACTATAATTGGCAATTACTACTTCATGTGATATGGACATTAACTATTAATCTTCTGTTTTCTTACATTAACTATTAATCTTTCACATGCCTCTGCAAATTACTTCTTAACCTAATGGATTACCTGATGGGTTATGTTAATTAGCTGTCATTTCTCTTTTGCTATTACTCTTAGGTCTTGTTCAACAACTCACGTAAACTAATGGCTAATGATATAATACAGGAGAAATACAAGAATAAGCCCTGGCTTTTGGAGGACGAGACTGGTCAGCATCAGTTTCAAGGCCAGCTTGAGGGAGCACAGTCTGCAACATATTATTTGCTTGTAATGCATGGGAAGGAGTTTGTTGCTATTCCTGCCAGTTCCTGGTAAGTATCTTTGAAATGCTTTGTCCCCAATAATCTGAAACGTTCTTCTCTAATTTCATTGTAGGAAGTGATTATTATTTGACTAATCTTGTGATCGGTCTTGCTTTTGGAGTTAAACAGAGATGTGTATCAATGTATACTTTTTGAAGTGTTATATTCTCACAATTGTTAATTCTTTACAGGTACAATTTCAACAAAGTTGCACAATATAAGCAATTAACTTTAGAAGAAGCTGAGGAGAAGATGAATAAACGGAAAAGCAATGCAACTGGCTATGAAAGATGGATGATGAAGGCAGCCACTAATGGAGCTGCTGCTTTTGGTGAATTGAAGAAGTTGGAAGGCATGAATGATGGTGGGGCTGAAGGGAATCGTTCCAAGAAGGTGAAAAGCGAAGATACTGGCGATCATTCTGACAAAGGCGAGGAAGATGTTGAAGAGGAGGAGGCAAGGAAGAATAGACTTGGGCTTAATAAGAAGAGTGGTGGTGATGATGATGATGATACTAAAGGGGACATGGATTTCGATGACGATGACATTGAAAAAGGTATGTGTAATAGCATTTTGACAATGCTAATGCCTTTACAAATTTAAGTTTCACATGATTTATTATGTACTATTTAGTTTACATTTTTAATACTTTGTTATACCTTTACATACTTAATCTGAATAAGATCTCATTCTTGTAGTAAAACTGTGAAGAGGAATGAGCTAACAATACATATTAATGCTCAAGAAATAGCTAAGACTAATCACTTTCGTGAATTAAAATCAATCATTTGTCATGGTGGTGAGATTGAGGATGATGTGACTTATCAAATCAAATCAGGTTGGTGTGGTTCATCGCCATGTTATACCCCTTATTTCTTGTAAGATGCAACTTATTGGTATGATGGGTCATTAATTTATTGTGAATCAATTGGTTTTTTGCTTTCTGGAACAATATACTCCAGAACCTGAAAGCGATACTCTTCTTGGTTATTTTTCTTTTGTACACTTATACATAATACCATGTATTAATCTAGTTGGAAGACATTTCTGTATTAGCATATTTTACACTGTTTTGCTTTCCTATGCTTTACTATGAGCCTTTTGCATGTTATGATGTATTCAGATAATGCTTTTCTATTTGCTCTCATCAAACAACAGAATTTGCTCTAAATTGAAACCTTGTCTGATTTGCTTATTATATGCAGGCGATGACTGGGAACATGAAGAAATATTCACTGATGATGATGAAGCTGTAGGGAATGATCCAGAGGAGCGGGAGGATTTGGCCCCTGAAATCCCTCCCCCGCCAGAGATTAAGCAGGTTCTGTGAAATTCTAACTTTTATGGAATACTGGTTGCATGCCCACAAAACAATATTACAGTTCCGTGTCATCAAAATACAGACAGTTTAGACTATTGTCAGCAATTATTGTTACCCGTACACATCAGTAATTCATATTCTTTGTAGTTTGTATTCAATCGGAAACTGTATGGCTGTCTGAAGAGATCGTATGGTGCAAACTCTATGGTTGGCATCCGATTTCTATGCTTTATTAGTTTGAAATTTGATAATCTGTTTCTTTCAGTTTGTGTTTTCTGAGGCTTGCACTTAAAAAAAAAATACTGAGATCTATCCTTTACAGCGCAGATCAAGAATTGATCCGAGCTGTTAATCACACTCTGGGCCTGAGGCCGCATTTCATCCACCAGATGTACTTGTTGGTTAACTGAGTGATAATATTGAACTTGTTTTTCCTATAACAAGTTGATGGAGCAAATATCATTGAGTATCTAAACCTGCAATCCAAACCCCGGATCCTATCTTAGATTACATGCACATATTTATTTATCTAGATAATACTGAATGTTTTCTGAGATATCTTAGATTACAATCCAGACCTAGTTTATACTTGGCTGGCATGGCTGCATTAAGAGGACCCCACTTGAAGGTCAAGTCTGCAAATGTATGTGCATTAGCGTCTGCATGCATGCAGCTCCATGTGTTTATGCATGGTTGGGGAGATGATTGTGTCCTTGCTTCAAAGTATGGGATCACATTTCTTAGAAGTAGATAAATTTGTGTCCTCTCAGTTTGATCTAGTTGTCTAGTTAATGTAAATGGTTTAAGAGAGTAGACATGCATTCAACTGCTTCAATGGGCTTGTAATAATTTAGTTAATGTAGGAAATGAACATGATAGATTTGAATACAATGTGAGAATTTTGCATAGCTGATTATGTTCACTAGTATATGCTAAACAAGTTTCACATTAAATTTTTACATAATTTTGATGTAGGCAGATGCTGTGATCTATTATCGGCACTGTTATTAAGTGCCTATTGAAAAGATTCAATGGCGTTAATAGAACTTTGTAGGAGTGTAATACTTAATGCAGGATATAAGTTATGTGTTCCCTTCATTGACCTAGTTTAAGGAGTTTTGGATGATCCTTTAGTAGAAAGCAACCTCAAACTAAATTTTGTAGGAACTTTGCAGTGGGCCGTACTTTCTACTTCGTTTGTTTTGATCTACATCTTAAATGGTCTAAAAATGAGAAATCAGGTCTTCTGAAAATTTAATATACATATGGAAATGATCCTTGGAAGCTGACCTCAAGATCCTTCAGGAACCAATGTTGAACTAAGGTCCTGGGAACTTGTAGAAATCCTGAGGTAGGATTACACATGTTTCATCATTGAACTCTAATCAAGTAAAATCTAAATTTCGAATACAATTGTTTGTCTTTCACAGTTACCACTAACTGAGTTGATTCTCTTTTTCTGCAAATTCTGTAGTTGGAAATATTGTATTTCCAGTTACATTGATAAAGTGGTCCTCAATTTAGTTCTGTGGTGAGAGAGTGTGGTTTCTCTTGCACTTGATATTTTACAATCTTATCAGCTATAATAATGCAGCTAAAACAAATATTGGGCATTCTATAGTTTTCTCTGTTCAGGGATTTGGGCCTACTTATTCGAAGGTCTTACTAGCACAAAACTAATTTATGGGGATTTCAGTTTGATGCTTGAGGTGGTGTGTAGGTCATGGTTGGTACTTAGCTCTAATTGAGGGTACTTGTCTCAAGGAAATGCCAAAATACGTGGAATTTTTCTCTTCCCTGCAATGAAGTTTTAGTTAACATACATTTATGTGTTTGTTTAAGTAGTCGTTTTTTGCTCACCATCTTTTATAAAGGGTCTTCTTTATGGATCAGCTTGTACATATATTGATGCATTGCTTGTGTCCTTATGTTACACTCAGGATGATGAGGAAGAAGGTGAAGAAGGAGAAGAAGAGGGCTTGAGTAAATCTGGGAAGGAGTTGAAGAAGCTTCTTGGAAAAGCAGCTGGGCAGAATGAGTCTGATGCAGAGGAAGATGAGGATGATGATGAAGTAAGTGTTGGACAGCTAACTGAAGTCATTTCTTATATTGTTAACAACTAAAAGCTCTTAGTTGCACGGTGGTCTCTTATACAGTATGTTTACTTGTGGAACTGGAAATTATGCTTTACTGACACAAAATATATGTCGTTTGAACTTTGAACTACGCAGATGGAAGATGAGAATATAAGTTCCCCTGTTCTTGCTCCAAAACAGAAAGACGGAATAAAGGAGGAACCTGCTGATATCAGTCCTTCAAAGACAACTCCTAGTGGATCTGCTCGTGGGACGCCATCCACTTCCAAATCCAAGGCAAAGAAGAAATCTGGAAACGATGACGTGAAAACTACAAATAATGTATCTGTAAAGAAGGTAAAGATAATATATTTATTAGGTTGTTTCTTTAGTTGGAGCTAAAGCACAAACTTGTTTACATTCTTGTGTATTCTGAAACAAACCAAGAACTCTATATTTTGGTACAGGAACCAAAACCACTTGTTAAAGAGGAGCCTTCTTCTGGCTCCAAACCTAGTGCATCCTCAAAATCTTCTGCTTCTGCTGCTTCAAAAATTGGATCAACTCTGTCTTCTGGACCTGTTACAGAGGAGGAAATTAGATCTGTTCTTTTGGCTACGGCTCCACTGACTACACAGGACTTAGTTGCAAACTTTAAGGGCAGGATTAAATCTCAAGAGGTTGGTTAACAAATTTATTTCAAATGCATGAGACAATTCAAAATGCTTCTTCCTTTTAACTTTCTAATGTCTAGATTTAGCTTTTTGTTTAGTAAGTTACATCCCATGCATTCTTAAATGATTAATTTATTGGATACACATTGCTAGTATTTATCATATTCTCTACTTGACTGAAAATAGCTTTTGCGAGGCCGAATGAACTCCAAAATTTTGAACTTTTTAAGCCAATGCTAGTTCTGTTGAATTTAATGTTTACATGGTATCTCTGTATCCATTTGATTCTAAAGTTAGTATCTTTCTGTGATTATCTAATTGGTAAGTCATGCAAATTGATGAGACCTGTATGGCCAAACATAGGCTTATCTTTCACTCTCTCTTTTACCGGGGATAGCTAGACTTGAAGGCTGTATCGAAGAGTCACTTATCAGAGCCAAAAAGTATCGATTAGCGAAGTATCACCCACATACACACAAAAAACATTAAGGTACCTTGGATTGCTTTTAAGGAAATTCACATTATCTGCTGCACCAGGTTATGTAATTTCATTCTTGAGCAAGTATAGTCGCTCTAAGGTGAGATTAACTTTGCAGGTTAACTTAAAAATTTCAGCTTTATGTATCCATAACCATCCAGTGCATCCACCCTTGCTAAAACTATCTGGTTTGTTGGGCTTGGTAGCTAAACCATTCCCAATGCGGGCAGCTTCTGCTATCGCAGCCAGAATTTCCCACTCCATTGTAGACATTGTTATCTGGTCTTTCTTCCCCTCATCTTATTGTGGCCTTCTAAACTTGTTGTAAATTGTTCAACTACTTCCCCGTTCTATCACCTTTTGTCTTCAGTTGCTTCCATCCTCCCTCGTATCTCGTCATATGCTTATCCATCACCTTATTATCCCTAGTTTTACTTCAGTGCTCTGTCCGTGCTTTCACTTTTATTGCAATCTTGTTTTCTTGGACCATCTTTATTCTCTGAAGTTCTGATCTCTAGTACTATGGCTAATGTAACAGTCATTTATTACACTGCCACCTAAATTTTGTAGGAATACAACATCCCTATATCACTGTATCAGAAGTATGCTCTTTGTCTACCTGGCTCTAATTCAGTACAGTGATAAAATCTATTCTCCCATTTCTTTGACTTGTACTAAGCAATGTTTAAAAGAGCAGAAGCACAAAGCAAAGCGCTAGACCCTTTGATGAAGCGAGGCGTAAGCTTCAAAGTATGAGGTGTAAGCTTCACGAGTTTAAATATTTTAATTTTAAATTTGTAAAAACTATAAACATACAATATATACCGGTGTAATAATTTACAAATATATACATTCATGTCCTGATTGATGAATAAGAAATTAAATATGTGAAGTATAGAAATGAATCACAATAAACTAAGCTACATGCATACATATATATTTTATTTACACTCACATGGTCATATTGAAAATACATAGGGGCATTTTAATGTTAGTCAAAAATCCTTTATAATCTTTTTGTCCTGTCTAAAGCGTGCGCTTCAAAAGAAAAGCGCTTTATGAAGTGCGAAACACACGCTTCAATTATGCTTTAATGAATAGCTTCACTCTTGAGTTTCGAAGCGTTTTAACCTCAAAAAGCTTTGAAGCAAGTTTCGGATGATTAATGCTTAGACAAAATTGATATTGAGGATAACTTCTTTTAGGTTTGTAATTTTTCTATATGTACGATATATCATTTCTTTGATTTTTCTTTTTGGTCTAAAGTTCTGCCCACCAAAAAATAAATAAATATGTGATGTAATTTTAATCATAAAAAAGTAAAGTTCATAATATTTGTTTCTTCATAGTACTAACATACCATAGCATTAATGGTGGTTTCAAAACAATTTCATAATATGTGGATGTTTCTTTTTGCTGCAGGACAAGAGGGCATTTGCAGATATTCTAAGGAGAATATCCAAGATACAGAAGACGAATGGCCACAGCTATGTCGTGCTGAGAGAAAAGTGAAAGTCTTCTTCCTTGATACACGTCTGCATTTCCTTGCTGCTGGTTCTGAATTTTTGGGAATTCCTTCAGATTTCTTTTCTTGGTTTGGGTTTCCTTCAGACTGCAGAACACTACTACGAGCAGGCATATTAGCTGGTTCCCAAGAATTCTGCGAAAAGCTTGGTTATTACTGTTTTAAGCCCTTTGGTTGTATTCATCTTGAAATTGAACTCAGATTTTAGAAAGGGACTCGGATCAACTTGAACGAACAAGGAAGAGTCAAAATAGAGGAGTATTATGAACTGAAAATAATAATGCTTACTTGGGTGTATATGTAATCACGGAAGTTTATGATTTTGCTTTTACTCTATTAACACAACTCAGGTACTTTATTTCTGAGATACGGCTTGGCCTCATTTGGTTGTATTCAGCGAGTGTTTGACTTGTAGCTTGTGTTTGTGGGATTTTCTAAAAATGTTTTGAATTGCTGTGGCCCGTAAAATTTTTGGCGATAATGTACTTGGGGGATAGTTGCGTTCTTCCTTGTGTTTTGTTGTTTTAGAAGTGTATAGGGTTAACTCATTTGTCCCATAGCTCGTGCTAATAAGTTTCGATTGTCATTTCTTGTTTGACTCGATCAAGCTCAAAGGTAATATGCCAGTCACCGGTAGGTAATACTGGTCCATTTTTTTTTGATTAGTTAATATTCGTCAGAATTGGTTTGGTTGAATCTGTAAACTAGAATTCTACACGACTTCTGCTATGTGCTGATGAGACGTTTGCTGCTAAACTTTGCTCTAAAATATGTCATCCAAATTTGCGGATAAAAGATAATATATCCATCCATGGCATAACAAAGATATTGGCAAACTTAATGCAGACTTTTGCATCACCTACTGATTCCTTACCCTAGGCCTAGAGTTAGAAGACAGCACCAAACCCAACAAAAGCCCATACAGACTCACATGAGCCCAATCAAACAGATCAAACCCAGCCCAATTAACATCCCAGATGAAACCGGGCCAACTTTCAGAGAACCAGACGGCTTAGGCCCAGCTGCTACACGAACAGCTTGTGTGAGCGCTTCTCTTCCCGCTGGCTCAGCCTTTTGCTGCTGAGGTTCAACATGGACATGGAGCTTGAGTCCTTTGTTGCAGACTTCAGCCGAGGTGCTGACGAAGTATCGCGGGCCTTGATGGCCCAACTCGATCTTGTCAAGCCCACCCGTGTACATGCGGATCGGGTTGGATGTGTCGCAGGACTCGTACTCTTCTCGGGTCCGTAGCTCAGCTATGCCCTCCTCTGCTGCTGAGTATGTGAACCCTGCAGCCACCACCCAAATGAGCACGAGCACCCGTGATATGTTGAGCGTTGATGTTTACCGGGAATACATTTATTGACCGATAAAGGTCCGGCCCTGTTTGGGAAACTGCACCAAACTGGGCCGGCCCTGGCCCATTTTTTAGTTTAAACTGGTTTTATGTTGATCCAAGACGGAGGTGGATCAAAACTAGAGCCGCCACTTCGAGGGATGGCCTAGCACTAGCAGGCCCTAAACCTCTACACGATGAAATAGAAATTCCTACACTAACATCTTAGATCGTACTGACTTCACAGTATTAATTTGTGTACTGACAGGGAATTTGTGACAAACCCATCATTTTGAGCAATATATCAAAGAGAACTTACGCGCTATCACATGGCTCTATACATATTTTCTTCTTAAGTAAATTTTAATTCTAGAACCAAAGGTTTTGATGGGGAAAAAACATGAATGATGTACTAATTTGAAAACTTTTGGGGCCTAGTCATCGTTCTTTAACTGAGATAGATTTTGTAGTTTTATCAGTGAAAATGCTTTTCAAAAAAATTTTAAGTTGTAAGGAGTTGCAACCGAGTGTCAAAATAAAAATTTTCCAAGGAAGGAAGGAAGGAAATGAGAAAGATGATGAAATGATAAAGAGTAATTATTTAGATGTAGGCTTACAAATGTTATCTCCAACCCTGAAAGACCTTCCGATGGCCCAAGATGCCACATCAGAAGCAGCATCCCAACCCTGATCCCCACCCACAACATGAACATCTCCTGATTTAACTCCCCAAATATTACCTACACTCATTAGTGCAAATATTGCAAAAATAACAACCAAACTTGCCATTTTAGAGTGAGAAAAAGAAAAAAAACTGAGTTGGAAAAAATAGGAGCAGTCCTTTTTTCCCCCCTCCCTCTCTTCTCCTCTTCACTATTTTGACTCTCACCAACTCTCTTCACTACCAAATAGTCTTGCTCTCAAGAGAAGGGAAGAATGGCAGGTGTGCCTTTATAAGAACCAAAAATCTCCCACAAAGAAAGACAGACTCAATGTTTCTTTGTTAAATTTCACAAAGCCCTCGTGAGATTTGGGGGGTTTTGCATGAAACCCCTTTGAACTTTATAAACGAGCTAGAGAAAATATTCAAAAAGTTCTAATATTTTTTAAACGATTTTGAACTATTAGAAAATCTCGAAAAAGACTTTTGTGTGTCGAATAAAAAATCCAAAATGTGATATGTTTGTTGTGTCTTGTTCTCTGACTTGCAAGAATGGCTTCTCACAGATCTTGATTTATGTTACCAGTTAACAATGTTTATGAGAATTTTTAATAGTTTGGAAATTAGTAAGGATCTTAGAAGCCTTCAATTAATGGTTTCTATGGTTTATGTACTTAATGTGGATTTTTTGAAAATTAATTATACATGTTTGCATGCTTGCATTTTTCTTTAATTTATTGTGGACGATTGTTGAAATTTTTTTTTTTTAGAAACGCTCATGTAGTACCCTATATATCAACATATAGTAGTAGTTCTTTATTGTTAACCATTAGAAGAAATATCTTCAAACAACAAGCCATATACAATTAATATTTACTTTTCATTTCTCACATAATTGGTGTTCATAACAAAAACAACATTTGAGCATTATCTACCGATTCACTATTTAATCCGTAAAGAAAATATGCACGTAATCTTGGGCCTATATTTGGAGCATTATAGCTATCTTCAAGTCACGTGTCAGATGGCGCAGATCCTGACCGTTGCTTACAACTGCTACACGTTGGGATGATTTGACCGTTGGATCTAGGGCTTCTCCTTTCACCCAACACTCTCACATCAAAACGAAGCGGGAAAATAGTGAACGTGAGCAATTAAAAAACTGTCCATGAGCTTCACGAGTTTGCCCTCAATCATGATGCACGCATGTACTGCTTCAATTTAATTGGGCTATATTTTTCCTCATCTACTCCTTTATACAAATAGGAGGATCAAAGAATACCTGTTCATGCTACAGTAAATTAAACAGTAATTCTCTCTGCTCTCATTTGTATAGACATCCGATCAGATTTCAAATTTCAAAACCCCCTTCTCAGGCTTCTCACCCCGATCCAGAGACAAAAAAAATCCCTCTATCCGTATGAGTTCCCCCCTTCTCTTCCGCATCGTCAAACGACCTCTTCCGCCGCCTCCCCTCCCACCTCACCGACGCCCTCTTCGCGTCGCCTGCCGGCCACCAGACCGCCATCCTCAAGACCCAATTGAATGCCATTAATTCACCATCCCCTCCTCGACGCCGCCTCTCCCTCCTCCGGCCAACCGGCGGCATGCTCAACGGCCTCTTCCTCGGCCTCCCCTCCAACTCACGCGCCCTCTTCCGCTGCGCTCCGCCGTCGCCGCCTCCGCCACCGCCGCCTTCCTCCAGACCCAATTGATCCTTATCAGTTCCCCTCCTCTCTTCGGCATCATTAACAGCCTCTTCTGCCGCCTCCCCTCCCACCTCGCCGACGCCCTCTTCCGCCGCCTCCGCCATTGCCGCCTCCTCTACCCATCCATCCTCGAGTCAGTTCAAAACCATAACCCTAACGTTTTTATTTTGGACCTTTTCTGTTGAAATTTATGAAATTTATTTTGATTCAGGTACTGTTGTGGATTCTGGAAGCAAAGCTCTGGAATTTCTTGGGTTGCAGCAAGATGAGCAAGTAAATTCATCATCTTCTGATTCTTCTTCTACTCATCCTCAACAAAATGTGATCTTTTTACATATACTTTTTGAAAATTTTGTTTTTTATTTATTTTGGACGATTTTTTAACTGAATTTTGGAATTTTTTAGTTATGAAATATGATTGAGATAGTTATGTGTCTTTATTGTTTGCTATATGAAGGGAAAAAAATAAAAAAATTTCTTAAGCTGGAAAGATACTAACTTTTTTTAGCTTTTATTGCATATTAACTGATTCTGGAGGTATATTTGCTTAGTATTCATTGATACGTAGACATGCAAATGCCAGTCTTTATTGTTTGATATATGAAAGAAAAAAAATTGGACACCAAAACTTTGAATCAACAATTTCTTGGTGAATTTATGGAAGAACATTTAACATATGAGAACAAATAAAAATGCTAACTTCTCATAACTTCAAATCTGATCCAAGGTATTTCTTTTTGTTTGTTTAATTATTGACAGCTAATAATAATTATGATGCCAACATCCTAATGACGTGCGTGATGGAATCGGTGATCGAGAGTATCGATCGGTTTCAGGTGATGGTTTTTACTATGATTTTGCGCATAACTTGATTCAGGATAATCATAATTTTATTTTGAGAATAGAATATGAAGTTTAGTTGAATCGAGATCGTATTTGTTAATGATATATGGGAAAAGAAGCATTTTTTAATGAAGGATGGGTTCAATAATATAGCTACTCATCATGATTTTTCTGCAATTGAAGAGCTAAATGTACATGAATTTATGATGGATAGAATTTTATGGTTCCACATCAAGTGCTTATAAGATTTTTTTTAAGAGTTTCTCACGAAACTAATTATTTATTTCTATAAATGTCTACTTTTCTTCTTAGCTTGAGAATTTATCAACATAAATGATACAATTATTTTTTACATCTTTCCTTCTAGGCTTTAGATGCAAAAGTAATCTGATTCAAGTAAAATAGGCAAAAGATGTAGTTCTCTTGGAAATTAGTTTAACTTTATATATATAATAGTTGCATTTCTATTAATTAAAAAAATATGTTTTAGAGGAAATTGTTTTTCTTAGAAATTAGTCCTCTTGAATAGCATTCTCAAATTTTGGATAATAGAGTTTAATTGATAACATTTATATATACGTAGTTGAAATGTATTTTACTCTTTGTATGTAAAGCATAGCGATCTATAATGCATTGATGCTTTTAATATGAAGGTTACAGATTCATTTTAATCTTTATGATTTGACACGGAGCCTGACAAGCCTATTATGTTACATTGCTTTTTTTTCATCGTGAGTGGGTGCTATCTGTTTGTTTTATTTATTTTTATTTTTAAATGCCTCATATATATTATATATAATATATACACCATATATATATATATATATATATATATATTATTATATATATATATATATATATAAATATATATATATATATTATATATATATATATATATATTATATATATATCATATATATATACTATTCAGTTAAGACTACTTATACTCGATGACGTCTGCAAATTACATAGGGTAAAAAAGGTGAAAGGACAGCGGAGAGAAGAAAACATTGATAAAATTTAGTTGAAGAAGACTGTAAAGTAATATGTTTTTTATTTTTCTCTAATAAATCTGGTTTAATGAGTTGCAAAATGTGTTCTATCTTGCTACTACAGTGTTTATAAAAAGCATGCTTCTATGTTGATGCAATATTTACTACAACATGTTTATATTATTATGCATAATTTGTAGGCGAAGTAGTCATACTTTTCATGTTTGATATCATATCATAAATTACAACTTCTTTTGGTCAGTTCATGATGCATTGATGAACCTATTTGGAGCGCGAGATTACTAATGCGAATATTTAATATGCATTCATCGTTCAAAGCCTAGACTTTCAATGTTCCTTTGACTTTAATGAAAGCCGATGGATGTTGTTGCCAATATTTAATGTGGCTTATGCCGGTTAAATTAAAGTCGAGAGGAAGAAGCAAATTACATTGTTAAAACATATGGCCGAAAGGAATGATCTTAGCTATGGCCGGAAAGAAATGATATATGCAATGCCAATGCAACAATTGAAGCCAACTTTTTGTTTTGAAATACATTTGTGACATCTCAAGTAAAGAGAACTTTAGTTGATATAACTACAGTGTGAATTTGGCTTTAAGTTCTTTGTTTGATTACTCACGATCATGTCCATAATTGATATTTACAATCCATCGTGCACCTATTGATGAAAATACTCAAAATCATGTCTATGAACATAATATCATCAAATCAGTAGGGGTTACTTGCAGATAGGCGCCTTATAGTACTATTATTGCAGATAGATCCCTTGAATATTTTCTTCCTCTTTTAGCCGCCGGACGTCATGACTACAAAGATTTTTCTTTTCATTGAGGTTAAAAGAGTAACCAAAAGACACCCAGAGGGTCTATCTGCAATAATAAAACTACATGGTGCAATTACTCATTAGCTTTATGTTATTATACAAGGAGAAAATTATATAGAAATAATGTAAATTGCACAAGGCTCCAGTATTAGACCAAATTCAATGTGTACAATCTCTCTTATGTGTACTATCTTTCTTAGTCTAAATATGGGAGGAAATTTGGAAGTTTTTAATGAACTTTGTTTACCTTGGATGTTTGTTAAATTGTAACATATAAACAATAGTGATTCTCACAGAGCTTTATGCTTACATGTGGATTTGAGTATTTTCTTTGAGTCTGTTTTTAGATTAAATCTCTCCAATGAATTTCTAAAGGTATATTAAATCTCTTAGAAAGATGAATGTTATTGTGATTTACCTTAATCTCAAACTAGAAGTGGCAATAGTTTGAGAAATCTATTCCTTTATATAAATAGGTAATTTTATTTCAATGTTGGCAAATTATACAGTAAATAAGAGAAAAAATAACATTCATCCCCCCCTAACGAGCTACATCCCCAGTTAGCAAATCTTGCTTAGCTGCATATCTCTGGTTGATGCATAGTACATAAAAAGGGACCCTAATTTTTATCTTTGGAAATAGATAAGAGTGGATTCTATCTTTATATAATTGATTTTTTTATCTTGCATGTTTAGGCTGGATTTATTGATTGCCACTATCTTATCTTTTATTAATTCATGCGGTAGAGATTCTCAACCCTTTAGCAAGGGAATTTAAATCGGTTGGAACTATAAAAAAAGAGTTCGCACAGTTGCAACATCCAACAAGAGCTAGCACAAGCACACCGACAGATACAACAATCTTTTCAATTCAAATGTACCAA